GCATAGCAGCAGATACATTCGGCAGGTTAACATGAGGCTGGAGAAATGGGTGCTTCAGATTCCTGCGGTATTTGAGCCAGTTCTAGGACAGGCGACACTTAGAATCATAGAATCCCTACAGTGTTGAAGCAGGCCATTCAGCACATCGAGTCTACACTGGTCCTCCAAAGGGGATCCCACCCAGAGCCACCCTATAATCCTGCATTTACCATGGCTAATCCACCTAGCCTGCACATCTTTGGACTGTGGGAGGAATCTGGACCACCCAGAGGAAACCCACAGACACAGGGAGAACACGCAAACACCACACAGGCAGTCGCCTGAGGCTGAAATCAAACCTGGGTTCCTGGCACCATGAGACAGCAGTGCTAACCCACTGAGCCACTGTAGGTGAGTTGTCTCAACAGCGATGGGAATAATGTCCTCAATTGGGGTGTAACTCATGCTGTGGGGGGGAGTGTTTCAATGATTTGGCAGGTGACAGGAAAGGAAATATTAACAAGGATAAATAAGCTGCACAGAGAACTGGGAGAAGCAAACAATATTAAAATAATGAGTGCTTCAGAGGTTGGAGGGCTGACAGGTGAGAAGTACAATGTGGGCTGAGAGTGTAGTGAATTAAGTTGGTTAGCTGCAGGCACAAATAGCCACCTGGATTCATATATGGGGAGCAACAGAGATTCACTCAAAAAAAGGGGAGTGAGGGACACTAAATATTCCTAAGTACAATTTATTCAGGAAAGAAAGGAATGCAAAAGGACAGGGTGGCAGCATTGTTCAAACAAAGTCTTATAGCACTGGAAAGCAATTTACTGTTCTACACTATACTGTTTCTGTTGAATCTGCCTTTTAACCTTCAAACATGTTTTTAAGCTTCTGAATCCATGCTATAAGCCGTGAAGTAATGGGAAGGAGATAAAGAACAAATTTGCAGGAAAATTGCTGAAATTTGCAAGAGCTGCCATCAAATGGGGGATTCAATTATCCCAACATGGGCTGTGTTAGTCACAGTATAAATAGCACGAATTCCAGAAATGCAACCCAAAGGGCTTACTTAATCAATGTAATTCCAGTCAAATGAAGGAATGCCAATGCTGGCTTGGAATCCAAGGGAAGAATGTGGGTCAAGCGAAACAAGTTATAGTAAGGGAGGATTTAGGGAACAGTGATCATACCATTCAGTTCTGGTGCAGGGTCACTGGACTCGAAACATTAACTCTGTTTCTCTCCTTCTCCACAGATGTTGCCAGACCTGCTGAATTTCTCCAGCATGCTCTATTTTTGGATCATATTGTAAGGTTTAGTGTAGTTATGGAAAATGACAAAATACGAAAGTACTCAACTGTACAAATTTTCACTGAGTAGAAAGGAAATCTGGTCCAAATTAATTGGAATCAAAGATTGGCAGGGAAAATGGTAAATGAACAATGGGAGGCCTTCAGAGGAGATAACTTAGCTATACACCAGGCACTTGCCCCTTATGGGACAAAAAAGGTATCTAAAGTTAGAACACTGTAAGTAGTAAAGATATCAAGATTAAAAATTATAGAGAAAGTGAGGTAATGATAAATATTGGATTTCTGCTCTAGAGTGAACGAGCTGAAGCTTAAAGGGTCAAATTGTTTCCTTCTATCCTGTAGCAATGTTCTTCTTTCATGAGAGGTAGGCATTACTGGTACTGAACAATGTGTACCATCCACCCTTCACTGCCCTTGAGGTGTGGTGAGCTGCCTTTCTGAACTGCTGTGGTCCATGCATTGTAGAGAGACCCACAATGTTACTCTGAAGGGAATTCTAGGATTTTGACAGTGAAGGAACACTGATTAATTCCTTGTCAGGCTGGCATGGGGTTTGGAGGGGAACTTGCAGCTGGGGGTGTTTCCCCGTATCTGTTGCCTTTGTCAGTCTTGGTGGTAAAGGTTATGGGATTGCTGTTCAATAGAACTTCCCTCCAGGAAATAGTCGAGCAACAACCCAGATATGTTGCATAGCCTCATCTTGAGGGCTCCAGCAGGAGTCAGGATCCTCGACAGTGAAAGATTTGAAATTCTACAGCGCCTTTCATGGAACCGCAAGATGTCCTAATGAGGTGCTTTTAAAGTGTAATCATTGCAATGTAGGAAGCACAGCTACCAATTCGTATGCAGCAAGCTCCCATAAGCACCAATGGCCAACCTAGTGTCACTGATTGAGGGACAATTATTGACCAGGTCACCAGGGAGAGCTGAGCCCTACTCTTCCTCAAACAAGTGTCTTACGATCACCTGTGAGAGCAGACAGGCCTTCAAGTTTCATCGGCACTCCTTTCGCACTGCCCTGAAGCATCAACCTGGAATATGTGCGCAACAGAGATACACAAGCCTTGACAATAGGACTGAAACACAGCCTTCCGATTGAAACCAACAGCATCTGCTTGCTCGTAATGTGCCACTGGTCTTTGGCATGAATCTGTCTGCTCTGGGTGCTGTGACAATACTGTGGCTTTAAGAGGTGAGTTTTGTCCTGGTTTTATTTTAGAGAGAGATTGGAGGACAGGTCCTGAGCAGTCTATGAGAAGATAAGCAACATATGAAACCTTGGATGTCTTTTTTAACATTGGAATGATAGAAGCAGCCTGAGTGGGTGTGGTCAAGCTCTCACAGATCCAGCATTTTTAGTTTGGCTTTCAGCAGTTGTTGCTGGGCTCTCAGCACAGTTGGAAGGCATTGAATCTCTCCCAGCTGCTACAGTCTCTCTCTCTCTTTTGATGCCTTTCCTCCTGGATTGGAAAACTGCATGTGAGACAATCTAAATTTGCCTTTTGCCAATGGTGTGCATATGGGAAGTTACTATATCGGAGTAGTTAATTAGTAATAGTTAATGTATCTATTATTCTGTTAAGTTTTCCAATAGAGTTGTTATTCCAAGTTCTTCTTTCTTTTGTTGTATTTTAACTACAACGCTTAAATAAATTGTTTTGATTAACATCAGTTAGTTTGACCAAAGAAATTGCATCTGGAACACAGGCACCTCACATTTGCCTGTGAAAATGAAAAAGGTTTGGGTCCACACTCCCTTCTTAATATATTTTGAGGGGGTCTGGTCTGGTCCATAACAGCACCAAAAGATGGCATCAAATATCAGTTCTAAAGCACAAAGTTATTCAGAATAAAGTTGGCTATGAGTCAGAATTCATATCAGTTCTAATGATCAGAATGATAGATGACAAGAGGGAGAGTCACTCCACACTGCCTTCATTTCAAGTCAGACTTATTCATGACTTGGGTGTTGCACAGAAAGCACTGACTTCAATAGTTTAAAAATAGACATAATATTTCAAGAGTGGACAGAACTTAGTTCTAGTGAATAGAGTCATGTGGTAATGTGGTTTTAATATCTCTGGACTACAGGGCCATGCTAATGCTCTGAGGGTCTGGGTTCAAATGACACCAGTGAAAATTAAATGTACTTAATAATCTTAAATCAGTGATGGTGATCATATTAAATGCCACTAATTGCTGTAAATGTCATATAAAGGGTTATGTCTAACTGTGTGATAGACAGGAAGTGACAGAACATCACACGATATTATACTTCTCCTGCAAGATGAAGCCACAGTTTCTCAATAAAATCAATGTTTTCTTTACCTCAACAGATTCTAAATATTATAACATTCTGAAGGGTCACTGCTTTCTCTCCACAGATGCTGCCAGACCTCCTGAGTTTCTTCAGCAAGTTCTGTTTTTGTTTCAGATTTCCAGCATTTGCAGTTCTTAGTTGAACTCATATCCTTTAGGGAAGGAAATTGGCCACCTTGCCCTGCCTGGCCTATTTGTGATTCCAGAGCCAAAGCTAAGTTATTGACTCTTTAACTGCCCTCAGAAATGGCTAATCAGACATTTCCAAGGTTTCTACAGAACTTAAAAGTCCAACTGTGTCTCTTACAGATGACAGATTACAATATCTTTTAAAGAAGAGCCTCAGGGAGCTATTGATTGAATCCCCACGTGATTGGAATCCATCCACAATGTGTACTACCTACATGACAACTCACCAAAGTACATTTGATGGCACCTTCTAAACACATAGCCTCTAGCACCTAGGAGAACAGCAGATACATGGGAACACCACAACTTGCAAGTTCCCCTCCAAGCCACTCACCATCCTGACTTGGAAATATATCACTGTTCCTTCAACATTACTTGGCCAGAATCCTGGAACTCTCTTCCTAACAATACAACACATTCTTGAGGGGAGATAGCGTCTACTATTTCAGAGTTGTAGCTTGTCAGAGAAGTAATTACATCATAGATCAAGGCTATCGGACCCACTGAAGACAATGACAACTCTCTGTAGAACAATCAATCAGGCCTATTCCCAAAAGCCCTCCAGCTCCCTTTTGAAATCATTGATTTCTTACCATTATGGATGTGGGCACAGTTACAATGTTTTAAAGGCGCTTAGATAAGTACATGAATAGGAAAGGATTGGAGGGATATGGGCCAGGATCAGGCAGGTGGGACCACTTTCATTTGAGATTATGTTCAGCATAGACTGGTTGGACTGAAGGGTCTGTTTCCATTCTGTATGACTCTATGACATGGACTACAGTAGGAAAAAGACTCACCACTCAACCCTTTGAGCAATTAAAGAAAGAATGTGCCCCCTAGCTGTGGTGGATCTAGAACCAGGGCATACTGTCTCAGGCAAAGGGGTTGGCCATTTAGGACTGAGATGATGAGGAATTTCTTTACTCAGAAGACTCTCTGGAATTTCTTTAGCCCAGAGGCTCTGGAAGCTCAGCTGCTGAATCGGATCAAGACAATTCCATCAATTCTAGATATGAATGACATTAAGGGATATGGGGATAGTGCAGGACAATGAAAGTGAGGCAGATGGGTCAGCTGTGATCTACTATGGCAGTGCAGGCTCGAGGGGCTGAATGGCCCACTCCTGTTCTGACATTCCTAAAAATGTATGAACTTTTCACAGCCACAACAATATGCACCTCATAGACTGGATCGTGAACACAGTTCCGATTTTATTAGTTTGATGCTGTGGACACAGAACAGTGAAACACTGTAAATGCCCACTTTAACCACTGCAATGTACAATCACATTCATTGCAATCAATGAAATAACAGCACCATATCCCATTGATGGTCATTGGTAATCGATACAGTCACGTAGCCCATACCATCCTCCTGCACATCACTCAGTGTTGCTTTCTCCGGAATGAGCAGCCTAGACAAAACAGAAAATAGAATCATGACAAAGTACTAGCACACATTGGTTGGGCCGAATGGCCCGCTTCTGTGCTATAATTTTCTGTGTAATTGCCTTAATCTTTCCAAAAACCCTGATGACACCACCCTTGCAGAAAACTGACTTAAACCAAGCTCTCTGCACATAGCCAGACTGGAGGATGTTGTGGTATTCTATAAACAATCAGATTAAATAGAGTAAAGATTTGACAGTATCTAACCAGTCTAGTTATAAGCTCAAACTGTTCCACTATCCAGGTTGGGCTATCACAATGCTTCTGTTACATGTTGTCTCTCTCTGTCAGCCATCTTGTTTCACTCAACCTCACCGTCACACAGCACAGCCCAGAGACACGAAAGTCCACCAAGGCAACCCTCACAAATACAACAGCTCGGGGTCACGGAGACCAGGTCAGCTCGGGGTCACGGAGACTGGGTCAGCTCGGGGTCACGGAGACCGGGTCAGCTCGGGGTCACGGAG